AGAGGGGAGGTTTGAGTGTGAGAGAGAGAAAAGAGAAGAAAGAAAAGAGGGAAAGAAAAAAGAAAGGGGTTGGGGGAGGTGTTTTAAAATTATATTCCAACCGAATCGGTCGGAAACGAGGTCAAACCTCATTTTAATAAAAGATTCTGACCAAATCAGTTGCAAGTTTTTAATTTATATTTTATTTATTTTTATTGTTTCCGACCAAATTGATCGTTAACAATTTTGCAGTATTTTTCGTCAAATTTTGCGACTAATATGGACGGAATATCTGTCGTAATTATTATTAAAAACTGAAAAATATATTCTTATGCGATTTCCGACCGATACTTTTTTGGATCGGAATATTTCGGTCGGAAATTAGTCGTTTTTTTAGTAGTGATGCACTTAAGGCCAAATAAGTGTGAAGTGCAACCAATATTTTCATGCACTTAAGGCCAAATATGTCTGGAGTAAAAAATTACACTTCAGATGTACTTAAGGCTCAATAGGTCTGAAGTGCAATCAATATTTTCATCCACTTAAGAATAAATAGGTCCGAAGTGCAAATTTTGCCAGAAACATAAATTTGTTTTTCAAATTTCAACAATTCAATACGCTATTTAACACCTAAAACTACTCCAAATAAATCCCAATTTGAAACATAACCTCCAAATATCATCAAGAACAAACTTCAATCATTAATTTATCAAAACAACAATAAATCTAACAAACCTATTTAGCAATTAAGAAGAAGAATAAGAAAATCCTAAGCAATAGTAAAAAAATAAAATAAAGCGTCATAGCAGTTCACTACTGTAAAATACCATAAATCACCTAAAAATATGCTCATAAATATCATATAAATTCACCGTCACCTTAAGAAGAAGGAGGAGGAAAAAAAGACCTGAATTTATTTAAATTTTAGGTACTAATTAAAAGAATTTTAAAAAATTATTACAGGTTAACTGGGCGACCACCTTTTTTTGTTTTTTACAGAAAAGAGACGGTAAACAAAGGAAAGGTCTCACTCCCGTGGGATCCGTTATTTGGGAGGTGACTTTGTTAATAATTCTCCCTATTGATATCTAACGAGATCTTCGCAATAATTTATAAATGGTTTGACATATAAAGGTTCAAGTAAAGCATCAAATTGTTTAGCAAATTTGCATCAATACGTTACGGGCTCACACGATCTTTCATTTTCTGCAATTTGAAAAATCAATATATATATATATATATATATATNAGTATCTCAGTAAATTGGCAACTTGAACTTTTATCTTTTATTTGTGATGGTTCGATTCTCTACTTTATAACTCCACCCTTCCTCCCCGTTTTTTTATAAAAAAGAAAAAGTCTTTTCCTATCGTATAATAAAAAATTTAAAATAAAAAAACATAAAGAACGTGGTATCAACTAATTAACTTGGGAAAGCATCAAAGTCAGTGCTTTGTGCCAACACTATGGGTTTTAAACAAAGATAATATGCATGATTGCTTGCTATTCAATTGGCAGCTCAAATTCTTCCGAGTTATATCTACATGCATTAATCATTTCTCTTCCCTAAAAGCTCTCGGTATTCTTGATTTCCAGAAAATGCCACATCTCAAAAAAAATCTACAGTCTTTGCCAAGTAATTGTGCTGGCTGTTTAACTAATAAACCTTCAAAATCTTCTACCCAACCAGCTGATGATAAGTCTTCCAGAATTAGGCTACGTGATGGAAGATATTTGGCTTACAGGGAAACTGGAGTTGCCAAGAACATGTCCAGTTACAAAGTGATCGTCGCTCATGGTCTTAACGATTCCAAAGAAATCAATTATCCAGAATGCCAAGTACGTACCGAGGGTGTGTTTGGAATAGTAGAAATTATTTTCCAAGAAAATATTTTTGATGAAAAAGTTACTTTTTCTGGTGTTTTGCTACCAAAAATATTTTTCTTTCATCAAAAGAGGAAAAAAGACTTCCCTAACGGACATTGTTTGACTTCCTAGGCGTTTGGCCATAAGTTTTTAAATATGTGTTTGTTTATAGTATTATGACCGTTTGGCCATAGATTTTGCCAAAATAAATTTAGGTTTTATTTGGCAAATACATGTTTGGTCATATATTTTGCCTACATTTTGGCAAAATTCCAAATCTCAAAACCAGCTCAATAGCTGGTTTTGGACCAAAATATCACTATTATATTTTTTTTAAAATTGCCCCAAACTTTTGTATTTTATCAAAGAGCCCACCATTTATTATTTTTTTAACAATATTGTTTCGTCTTCTCGGTCACCTGATAGTGTATCATGAAGTTCATTATAAAAATGATAATTTTGTATCAAATTTGTTTATGTTCAGGACTATGGTTTGCGATAATATAATGAATGTTATTGATAATGGTACTGTTGGGTATTTGTGATAGTTTTTAGAACTTGTGGGTATAAGTCATGTTTTATGTTTTTCCAAAATAAATTTGGGAAATATGTTTTGAAAACTGATATCTAAACACATTTTCATCTTCAAACCAAACTTCACCCAAATCAGATTTTTCAGAACAAATTTAGGAATCTATGGCCAAACGCTAGCTTAATCTTAGTTTTTGGGAGATTTTAAAAACCAAAATTTCAAATCCCAAATATAGCTTAAGACCTCTTTTTTGGGCCAAATCATGATCATTTTAGTGGGCAAAAATGGGGGGTTTTAATATATCAAAACTTGCCCCAAAATTCTTGTCCAAACACATTTTTAATTTCAAATCAAACTTCATCAAATCAGCCTTTTTAAAATATATTTGGGAATCTATGTCCAAACATGTCCTTTATATTATTTGCTCTAATACTTAGACACTATTATTAATCTTTAGGACTCAACAATTTCATCAAAAAGTACACTCTAAAATATTTTTCATTCGCCAACCAAATACCAAAAAATATTTCCTGAAATACATTTCTCATGTAAAATGACGTCCGTCATACCAAACATAATCGCAGCTATCTTAGAACACTACATAATTATCTTCAGCTAGCTAGCTACTTCATGAGTTTTATTTGAAACTGAAGTTTTAAGCTTTATTACCAGGAACTCAAAAATGAAATAGGAATATACCTGGTTCAATATGATCGACCTGGATATGGAGAGAGTGATCCGAATCCAGACCGCTCATCGAAAAATGAAGCATCTGATATTGAGGAATTAGCTGATCAGTTAGAACTAGGACCCAAGTTTTACATTATTGCAATCTCTGCAGGATGTTACTCAGGTTGGAGTTGCCTTAAACATATACCACAAAGGTATTCAAAAGATCAATTGTTTTCCGATTTTTGTCAAAGAAGTACTAACATTGTTATCGGTAACAGTAACACCTCTTCTAAGCAAGTAATTTTCTGTTTATTGAGTGTTTGGAATGACGGAAGTTGTTTTTTAAGAAATAAAAATTTCATGACAAATTTATTTTTCAATGTTTGGTTAGTGATGATTTTCCTCACTTGATGATTTTCGTTATTGTTTTCCTTAAACATTTAGTTTCATGTTACTTGCTCCAATTCACACTTGGACATTATTATAAAAAAACTCTAAGCTTTACTAAAATCAATATTTAATAGAGTACATATTTTTGTTAAAAATACTTTTCATTCACGAATCAAATACTATATCGGAAAACATTTTTTTTTTTTAAAAAAAATTAGCTTATATACACACGTATTATTTATGTTGCAGGCTAGCAGGAGTGGCTCTTGTAGTATCGCCTATAAATTACACATGGCCTTCACTTCCTAAAGATATGATAAAGGACGACCCTAGGAAGAACATGATTGGAAAACTGGTCTGGTTGGGAAAAAATGCTCCTGGACTACTTTATTGCATTCATATTCTGTCCTCTTCCCTCAAGCGTCGTGGTAATGCTCAAGAGACTAATAAGAATCTCACCAACCATGACGTTGAGATTTTGAAGAATCGACAACAAAAGTTGGCTGGTCAGGTAATAGTAGTTTCTTGCTAGTTACTCCGTTCAAAAAACAATGATACACTTCAAATTTTTAGAGTCAAACGAGTTGTTCTTTGACCGTGATATTTTCATATGCCTTTTAAATACTTTTAATTGTTAATTATTGTGACTTATAGTAGGTTTTATGTAGTTTTTAAATATGTAAATTTTATTTTAAAAAGCATAAAGATTCTATATCCGAATTCACAGTTAAATTTAAAAAGTTTGACTCTCAAAATTTGAATTGTATTATTCTTTTTGAGGCGGAAGGAGTAGTACTTAAGCTGCATTCATGCCTTTGGGTACAAGAATACAGATTTGACCTATAAATTCTCTCTGTGTAAACTTTTCACGCTATCAATATCACAGTATAGTTTAACAAGTTTTAAAAGGCAAGGGCAGAGTTACCTATTAGGAAGGGGGTTCAATTGAACTTTTTTATTGAAAATTATACTGCAAAAATAAAGTCAGAACAAGTACTTTTTGTATATGCATGAATTGTTAATCCCTTAACATAAGAAAAGTCTAGTATAATGGTAAAGGTGATTCAAAAAATATTTTTGTTGTAGCTTCAAATCCTAGCTAGGTATAATATTCTTACATATTTTTGAGTCCCTTATATCCCGGCTTCACAACTGAATAACTTGTTGCTTTTTTTGTTTGAGTTAAACTTTTTATGCGATGACAATATAAATTGATTTATACCATCAAGTTAAGGTGAAAGCGTTTATATTGTTAGTGCATATAAGTTAACTTATTTGATTCGAATTCTCCGAGTTGTAATGAACTCACTCCTACTATAAACATGAACATGTGATTATCTATTAAGTCTAGTGACGTAAAACTATTTTTACGCTAACAAGCAAGTTTGTGCAGGAGCGTATGAGGAGGAGGGACTTTAACACAGTTGTTCGCGACCTTGTTGTGGTTTCTGGAAAATGGGATTTTGATCCATTGGAACTGAGCAATACTTTCTCACAAGATGATAGTTGTGTTCATATTTGGCAAGGTAATGAAGACCCACTCGTGCCTTTCCAAATACAGAGATACGTTATTAAAAAACTGCAATGGATTAAGTACCATGAAGTTCCTTACGGAGGTCACCATCTACTCTACGACAAAAATCTTTGGGAAGCTATTTTAAGGTCGCTATTGCTTGGTGATGGTTCTAATCAATATGAACCCAAACTAGATGACTAGCTAAATGAATTCACTTGTGAAAAAGGATTGAGTTGAGGCATTTTCCTTTAATTTCTCTTTTGACTTCTTTTGTCATCATATGCAATATATACTAATACATGAACATTGGAAGGAATTTACTCTATTTTTCAGGTTGTTTAGTAGTTAGATCATGTCATTAAAATAATTACGTGTTAATGACATGATTGTTTAAAAATTTTGTTACACCGTAGAATTTACCCTGGCTTTTTTTTTAATGGGAAGTACATGTCGGATACTTTTCCAACCAAATTAAACCTATATTCTTCTTTTTTACTTAATTTAGCCTATAACTCTGTATACGGGTGAAACCGAGCCCTTTGGACGCCTCGGTTCCAGATGAAGTAAACGGAGCAGAGATGTGACTATAAGGAACCGGAATCGGAACAAGGAGCCCCTCGAGTCGGGGTCCGGGCAAAACACCTGCCCTCGGAAGAATCGGGGCCACGTCTCCCAGGTCCGATTCGAACCCCAAAACTTCGGAGAGTATTACTAGATAATCGAGCAGACAAACAAATGGTCGTAATATCCGTGCCCAGTCGAATGTTACGGCGTGAATCTCAGCACGTATCGGCAGAAAATCAGTGATTACTAAAACGGAAGATTTTTACCTCTTTTGGAATTGTACTTAGGGTAAAACTCTGCTACTATATAAAGGGGAGTCTAACTATTCATTAGGCATGATTGTAATATGCATATCAAGGCAATATACTCTTATCTTCTGTTATTCAAAGTTCTTACTTTTATTCATCAGTTCTTCATTATCGTGAGCTCGGGATCGAAGGAAGGCATTTCATTAACGTTGTTACTGAGTCCGGGATCACTCTCCTTAATTGGTTTGACAATTTATTACGTCATTTATCTGTTTAATCTAACGCAATTTATCATTTGTATTGAATTAATTCGCGTGTCCATAAAATCACATATAAATTTAATTGTTATCTGCAAACTTTTTGGCACCCACCATGGGACTAAGGATAATAGTGGCAATTTGATACAAATTTTCATAATACACTATATTTTATACTTGTTCTTTGAGCTCGAAATTTTAGGTCAAATTAGAAATGTCAAATCCGGCCACCATGGCGAGAACAATAACGTGGTGCCCAGCAACGAGGTGACCCCTGTTGACCCCAGCAGAGTTCCAGCAACAGACCCGGTCGATGCTAACTCACATGTGGCTATTGAAGCAAACTTGCCAACCGACCCCAAAAATAGCATTCGCGGGGGAGCCCGATCGATAGCCCGGAGTACATACGATGGCGAAGGCGATGGGATCAACTTGCACGTAATCTTCTAAATGTTACAGGCTCAACAGGAAGCGATAGCCCAGTTGCAGAACCAAAGCCGCGCCCCCAGCAGAGTTGAGCCCGAACCGTCCCGAAAAAACACTCGTAGAAATGAACTAGTCATAGAGAGGCCGAGTGAAGCTGAACCCGGGACCAACCCCGAGATAATAAAGATGCTCGAGGAACTCACAAAACGGGTAGAATCGGGAGAAAATAAAATCGAAGCCAACGACAAAAAAGTGAAAACCTATAACTCCAGGGTCGATCAAATCCCAGGAGCACCACCGATACTGAAAGGCCTGGATTCCAAGAAGTTTGTCCAAAAGCCTTTCCCTCCGAGCGCAGCTCCGAAGCAGATCCCGAAGAAGTTCCGTATGCCCAAAATTCCGAAGTATAATGGAATAACTTATCCAAATGAACATGTAACTTCCTACACGTGCGCCATCAAGGGGAACGACTTGGAAGATGATGAAATCGAATCCGTTCTGCTGAAAAAGATTGGAGAGGCCTTGTCAAAAGGAATTATGATATAGTATCACAACTTACCCCTAATTTTATTGACTTGTTTCCTATACTTGCAGATGCCTTTGTAAAAGTGCACGCCGGGGCCATCAAGGTCGAGACCAGGAAGTCAGACCTCTTCAAGGTGAAGCAAAGAGATAACGAGATGCTCAGGGAATTCATGTCGAGGTTTCAAATGGAACGGATGGATCTGCCCCCGATCACGGATGATTGGGCCGTTCAGGAATTCACCTAAGGACTCAACCCCCAAAGCTCATTGGCTTTGCAACAGTTAAAGCAAAATTTGATAGAATATCCGGCGGTAACTTGGGCCGACGTCCATAACAGGTACCAATCAAAAATCAAGGTCAAAGACGATCAACTCGAGGCCCCTTCCGGATCCGTTTATCCCGTCAGGACTAGTAACAGATCCATAAGAGTCGTCGATCATGAACCAAGATCGAACAGAGATCGGTATCAACCATATAATGGAGATCGATGGAGTAATGGTCCGGACGCAACCCTACAAGGAGTGAAAGAAGAAGCGATCGAGGTCTTAATAACCGGGCACTCATGATCAAAAACAGTTTTGACAGACCCATCGGGTCCAAGGAAGCACCAAGGTTATCGGAGTACAACTTCAACATTGATGATGTCGGCATCGTATCATCCATCGGACGAATCAAAGATACTAAGTGGCCTCGGCCATTGCAATTTGATCCTGCCCAAAGGGACCCCAGCCTAACGTGTAAATATCATGGCACTCACTGCCACAGAACCGAAGAGTGCCGATAACTGAGAGAAGAAGTAGCCCGGTTATTCAATAACAGACACCTCCGAGAGTTTCTGAGTGATCGAGCCAACAATCACTTCAGGAATAGAGACTCCAACAAGCAAATCGAGCAAGAGGAACCTCAGCACGTCATTAGCATGATCATTGGAGGAGTTGACGTACCCCAAGGGCCGATGTTAAAGCGCACTAAAGTGTCTATTACAAGGGAAAAACGGACTTGAGATTATGTATCAGAGGGAACCGTATCTTTCAACGACGAGTACGCTGAAGGAATCTTACAGCCACACAATGATGCACTCGTAATATCTGTACTCATAAATAAATCTCGAGTTATGCGTGTGTTAATTGATCTAGGTAGCTCGGCCAATATCATCAGATCGAGGGTCATGGAACATCTGGGTCTACAAGACCAAATAGTACCTGCAGTTCGAGTTTTTAATGGATTTAATATGGCATGCGAGACCACTAAAGGGGAGATAACCCTACTGGTAAACACTGTTGGAACCGTCCAGGAAACAAAGTTCTACGTGATCGAAGGAGATATGAGATACAATGCTCTATTCGGGAGGCCATGGATTCACAACATGAGGGCATTACCCTCGACGCTACATCAAACTTTGAAATTCCCCACATTGGGAGGAATCAAAATAGTTTACGGGGAGTAACCGGCCGCAAAAGAAATGTTCGCGGTCGATGAGGTGGTCCCGATATCCGCACTCTCGACATCAAAGAACCCAAGTTCGGCCACCAAGGAAGAAACCAAATAGTAATCATCAACACCAGCCCTGACCGAGCCAGAAAATCTGGAGACAGATGAGGATGACGATTATGGAGTCCCTAGGTCTTTCATAGCCCCTGACGATTTCGATGCCACCAAGTCAACGGTCGAGGAGCTGGAGCAAGTCAGATTGATCGCGCACATGCCCGATTGGAAGGTATATCTGGGCACAGAGCTAACTCCTAAGCTCAGGAAAAAACTCATTGAATTCCTTATAGCTAACATAGATTGTTTCACTTGGTCCCATCTTGACATGACAGGATCCCACCGGAAATAACTACACATAAGCTGAGCTTGGATTCGAAGTTTCATCCGGTTGAACAGAAGAGGAGGCCTCAGTCCGAAGTCAAGCATGTATTCATCAAAGACGGGGTATCCCAACTCCTTAAAATAGGCTCCATTCGGGAAGTTAAGTCCTCAGATTGGTTAGCAAACGTAGTGGTAGTTCCTAAAAAGGAAATAAATTAAGAATGTGTGTAGACTATAAAGACTTGAACAAGGCATGCCCTAAGGATGCTTTTCCTTTGCCTAACATCGATCGCATGATCGATGCGACGGTCGGCCACGAGATACTCAGCTTTCTCGATGCCTATTCCGGGTACAACCAGATCCGGATGGACCCAGGTGACCAAGAAAAGACTTTCTTTATCACTAAATACGGCACCTATTGATATAACGTAATTTCATTCGGACTAAAAAATGTTGGTGCCACTTACCAACACCTATTAAATCGAATGTTCGAAGAGCAAATAGGAAAATCAATGGAGGTCTAAATTGACGACATGTTAGTTACGTCCCTGCGAGCAGAAGACCATTTGGAACATTTGCAGGAAACCTTCAACATACTAAAGAAATACAATATGAAGTTGAACCCGGAGAAATGCGCATTCGGAGTCGAGTCCGGGAAATTCCTTGGATTCATGGTGTCCAACCGGGGGATCAAGATCAATACCGACAAGATCAAGGCCATAAAAGACATCACCGTGGTGGACAATGTCAAGGTCGTCCAAAGGCTAACCGGGCGCATAGCCTCCCTCGGTCGGTTCATTTCAAGGTCCTCCGATAAGAGCCATCGGTTCTTCTCGTTAGTGAAGAAGAAGAATAACTTCTCGTGGACCCTGGAGTGCCAGCAAGCTTTGGAAGAACTCAAACGGTACCTTTTGAGTCCACCTTTGCTTCATACTCCGAAGGCAGACGAGCAGTTGTACCTGTACTTAGCGGTATCTGAAATAACGGTAAGTGGAGTCCTAGTTCGGGAAGAAGTAGGTACGCAATTTCCTATATATTATGTTAGCATGACTCTAGGCGAGGCCGAAACGAGGTATCCTCACCTGGAAAAATTAGCGCTCGCATTGCTAAGCGCCTCCAGGAAGTCAAGGCCCTATTTTCAATGCCATCTCATATGTGTCATGACTACTTACCTATTGAGGAATATAATGCACAAACCTGAGCTCTCGGGACGATTGGTCAAATGATCCATGGAAATTAACAGGTTCGATATTGAATATCGACACCAAACCGCCATCAAATCTCAAAGTTTGGCAGACTTCGTGGCTGACTTCACGCCGGACTTAATACTCGAAGTCGAAAAGTAATTGTTGTTAACCTCGGGGACCTCCTCGAGGATTTGGACCCTCTTTATAGACGATGCCTCGAATGCAAAGGGCACCGGACTCGGCATCGTGTTGAAGCCGCCCACGAG